CCCGGAGCTCCTGCTCAGGCTATAAATCCCATATCTTGCATCCAAATATCATCTTCTGCTAGTAGCTACCTCCAACAAGGATTTTTCCTGCTTGTGTAACATACTTAACCCATATTAGGGGGTTCCAGGGAGGATCTGGGGAAAGAATGCAGAGAGAAGGGGAATAAGAAAGAAAAGGATCCAGAAGAAACACACAGTGAAAATCACAAGTGTCCCTGATTGCTTTCCTTAAACTTACTAGCCATGAAAACAGCTTTATTCCTACAATTAAAAGTTCCACACTTCACAATATTCCAAGCAATTGCAAACAAACAGGGATTTAAGGCCTATTCCTCAAAACACAAACTCCTCCAGTGCTGTGGGTACACACTGAAAATTACCTGAAAACGGGAAGTAATCAACAGAAGCCTTTTGCAGCACAGTGACAGCACCAGCACAAGCAGGTTTCAAATCCAGAGAGGAAAAAAAAAAACCCACCTCCGTGTCTTGATCTCCCTTTCAACATCCAAGTAGCCTTCAGGTTATAAAAAACAAATGCCTAATTTGACAATTAGGGAAGTCTCAGACATCCCCAAGATTTGCTTACATGAAAAACATCTGTCATTTCCCATTCAAACCCAGGTCCCCTCTGGGGAGTTGTTTCAGTCCTGCTAATGGGCATCATCCTGAGTAATTTGAACTTGTGAGCAGCAGCCTCTCCTGCCCAGCCCCTAAGACATCAGCACAGTACAGACGAGATCAAAGGTGCATTCAGTTCCCAGCTAAAAGCTTGGCTTGCAGCAGGCTCTGCTCCATTTTTCATTGAATCATTCACGTGTGAAGCACAGCTCCCAGAGGATTTTATGCCACACTGAAATCCAGGGAGTCTCTCAAGTTGGCTCTGGCACTCTCCAGAAATACCTGAAGGTTTGCCACTACCTTCTACTTACAGGAGAGCAACAGGTTTGGGGCTAACCAACCCCCAACTTTAGAGAAATTAATAGGAACTATTTAACACCATGTGCTCTGAGACAAGATTTCTGTGGTACTGCCTGAAAACTCAAGAGATGCTCTGTTCAACCTTTGATTTCACAAACGTCTCCCAAAAGCAAATTAGTAAAAAAACTCACTCTCATCCAGGGTTTTACAAACTGAGGAACTGAATCCTGCTAAACCCAGGACTCAATTTGTCCAAAAGCACCAACACTGACACTAACTTGTAAGAAAAATGAAACTTAAACTTCCTATTACTATTTTGAGCCACTAAAATCACTTCATAAGTTTATTGCCTCAATGATAAGAGCAATATTTTCTCTCCTGAACTCAGCTTTAAAGAAACAGGAACATGCCAGCTCATCCCTAAACCTGAGGCAGAGCATTTCTCCACAAGAGTACTCAAAGCACATCACTGTCAGATAAAAAAAAAAAAAAAAAAAAAAAATCTTTCTTCTTGCCAGCTTAAAATATTTTCCCACTGGTCAATTATGCCCAACTTTGACATATCTAACACAGGGCATATTAAGCTATGACCTGTAGAATACTAAGCACCTGCATACAGGTAAGAGAGCAGAGTAGTTCAAGAGTTGAGCACAGGCAGCTCAGAGCAGATTTGGGACACTGTTTGGGACACAGTCGCTGCTGTTCTCCACCTGAATGTCTTCAACACTGCTTTGTTATCAAACAGCACTTCACTCTGCTCCCCTGCCCTGACACAACTGACACACTTGCTGATTACCATGCAAATAAAACAACACCAGCTTCTCATTCTCTCCATGACTAAGACTCTTCGCACAGTTATTTCCTCAAATTCACTGTTCCTCTTCACCTCAGACCAAGGTTCTTAGTGAGCCTTGCTGTTGAGCTTTTGGATTTTAAACGATTAAAAAATCATTTACTGTGTATCTGAGCTTTAAAATACACAGTAACCTCCTGGGAACTGAAAAGTAACAGTCATACCTGAAAGAGCAGGTGCGGAAAATAAGGAGCAGTGAAACTTTACAACACAGTTACCTCAGGGGTGTGTGGAGAGCTCAGGAATCAACTGCAAAACTCATTTACTTCAATTATTCAGAGCAGTTTCTCTAACTCCCTTTCCCATCTCCACTAAAGAGGTGTACCCCTGGATATCTATGTATTTTTGCCTCCCTCCAGACTGAGCTCTGGAGGTTTTGGACTCTACACAGCACAACAAGGAACAGAGTCACTCAAAGGTTCCACTCCAAGTTAACTTGGTGGTTTCATCTTGCCCTGGCTCAGTTTCTGTCTCCTGGGGCACATACAACCACTTCCTTATTTTTAAAATGAATTTTTACCAGCCTGAGACACACTGAAAGAAATTAAAGATCCAGAAATACTTCGTCAAAACATGTAAAAGAGAGTAAAATACTGTGTTGCTTCAAAATTATAGTAACCTTTTTGTCTTTGGGAAATTAAATAAAACTGCAGTTTGTATGAAAAACATCCATATTCAGAAAGAAGCTGGGAATTAGGGATGTTGATAGCTGAGAAAGAAAAAAACCAGTATTAAACGACAGCTACTAGGAAAGCAACTGCTTTTATTCAAGACTTGAGAAAGCAATAACGTTCTCTCACCCTATGAAGGCTGAATTTAGGCTTGTAACTTTTCAGGGGATCGAATGCAGTGAGTTGTCTTGATGGACAGGCTGAATTCTGAAGATTATGAACAGCTGACAGACAAAGAATACTTATCCTCAGATCTTTAGCACAAACTAGGAAAATACTTGCTGAAAATTTAACTGAGACAGTAACCTGTTCATGTGTTCCAGTAAAACATGCATCACGTTTACATGAGAAAAATAACGTACTGAAAAATAAAAATATGCAAAAATACAGCATATTTATATATACATATATATGCAGCATACACAAAAAGGGGAAACTAGAACAGCTTATTTTTACTGATCACAACTGGAAAGAGAAGGCAAGAGAGCAACCTGTCTGTTCCAGTGCTATTACAGATGTTTATCTATGTACTCACTTGTACATCTAATCAGCTGAACTCCATCTGTTCTGTGTCACTCCCCTGCAGCTCATTACAGAAAACAAACACCAGTTAACAGTGGTGTTACTCTAAGAGAAAGTGAAGAGGAAAAGTAGCTGCAAGTTTGACTTCCAGGATCTGGTCACAAAGCTCCAAAACTGTCTGGCTCAATTTCTCAGAAAGTCTCAAAACTTGAATCACATGTGGGCTCTGGGTTTGAGGTTTTTTTTGTGAAAAACAGAGAAATCCCCCTGGTAGGCATCATCAGTTGACTTGGTGTTGAGGTAAGAAGATTGATCTGATCCTCTGAAAGGTACAGTAACCTGCTGTGAAGCAACTTCACAACCCAACTCAGCACATTTCTCTGGTGTAAAGAACCAGAAACCAACACAGTCATAACACTTAAACTGAAAGAGCAGAAATGGTGACTTTGAGACAGTCACGTTGGAAAAAAAAGAGCTGGACACTGACTCTAGGAAGTTCTCAAAAAGTTGCTAGAAACCCTCCTACCTCACCCACCACAATCTAAGGGCAGTCAATGCTTTCTACCAGCAGAAATGCAGATATAGGATAGAGTATTAGTTATGGCAGCTGGCAAACATCAAAATGCAATCAGTGGAGATGGGGAACATACAAGGAGGCCAAACTTCCCTCCACTGGAGCAGCAGGAAACCTTGCTGCTCTTGGTCCTCCTGCCTGCAACAGGTACTTACCGGGCGAGCCTGGGGACTCAGGTAGGGCTCAAAGTCATCATCATTCAACCCATCTTTCTGGTGCACAGAGCCGTTTTGCACTGAGAAGAGATGTGTAAAGTTAGAAAAACCTAGGCAATAAGCTCCCATTATTATGAGCTTAAAGTATTTAAAGTCAAACCCGAGAATATAATGAACTTCTGCCAATTCTAACACACCACGCTCAGCCCACGGCACACAAGACCGCACAGGCACACCTGCAAACTATCCCCAGCCCAGCAGGCAGGCCGGGTCGCAGGGTTTATTTCCCTCCCGGCAGAGGGATCCTCCCTCTCCCAACCAGGCCCGCCCGACCCCCCGGGATCTCACCTTTGTTGCCTTGGCCCTTGGGTCTCTGGCGCGCCAGCAGCGACGTGGGGAAAGAAAAAGGGAAAGCGGTGAGTCAGAGGAACAGACCCGGCTGGGGTGAGGATACAGACCCGGCCCAGTGAGGGGAGGACAGAGCTGGGGAGGGTAAACAGACCCGGCCGAGAGAGGGGAGGGCAGATCTGGGGTGGGTAAACAGACCCGTCAGAGCGGGGAGAGCCAACGCCCGGCAGGGACAGACCCGGCCCGGGGAGGGGAGAGATCCGGCCCGGCAGGGTCGAGCCCTGCGGGGACAGGCCCGACCCGGCCGCATCACAATGGAGCGCGGCCATGCGACGGGAGAAGAGTGAGGCCGCAGCCGCCGCCCGGCCCGGGGCGCAACCCGTTAGGCCCAGAGCCGCGGCCTCGCCCAGCAGGGCCGTCCCGGTATCGGCGGGGGGACTCCTACCTGCTCCAGGAGGCTGCTAGCCGACATGGCTCCGCGGCGGGGCTGCAGGCGGGGCGGGGCGGGGCGGGGCGGGAGGCGGCGGCGCTTTGTCCGGGCCCGGCGGGCTCGGGGCGGCCCTGGCGGACTCGGGGCGGTCGCCGGCAGGGCGGGGGGACGCTCTATCCCACCATCTCCACCCCACCTCCCCGGCCGCGAGTCTCTATGGCCCGGGCCCGCCGCCTCGCGCTCCCCCCGCCCGGTCACGCGGCACCGCGCGCGCCCAGGCACAATGGCGGGAAATAGGGGGGAAAGCGGGGGGGGGGGGGGGGGGACGGGGGGGGGTGTAGGGTTGGGGGGCGCAGTGCATGCCGGGACGGCGGAGGACCGGCGCGGGGGGGGGAGCAGCGCCCCCATTCGACTGGAAGTGGGAGGCCTCTTAAAGGGCAAGGCGGCCTCGCTGAGGTTCTAAGGCAAAAAATGGCAAATTCGGGACCCGGCTGCGGGCTCAGCCTAACTTCATCCTGTCGCGCGCGACATTTTAGCTCCCCCCGTCCCCAGTCCAGTACTCCAGGGTGCAGAGAACCCAGGGAACATCATAGTCCCATAGGACCCCCACCCAGGTCAAGTGGGCTACCTGGGTAGATGTACAGCGATCAGGGAGTGCAGTCACCCCACTTTCCGGCCAAAAGACACAAAAAGCTCCAGCATGGACCTGACAGGATCTGCTGTATGCCTGGATTGGGGAAGGGGGTCCCCAAAAGGTCCCCATTCCCGTTCAATCATGGGCCTGAGGAAGCCAGAGGAGAATGGAGGGAAGCTGGCTGGATGTGGAAGGAGGTGGATCCCTGATCCAAAACTACGGAATCCCAGACTGGTTCGAGCTGGAAGAGACCTGAAAGCTCCTCTTGTTCTACTCCCTGCTGTGGGCAGGGACACCTTCCACTGTCCCAGGCTGCTCCAAGCCCCATCCAACCTGGCCTTGGACACTGCCAGGGACCCAGGGGCAGCCACAGCTTCTCTGGGCACCCAGTGCCAGAGCCTCCCCACCCTCACATGGAAGAATTCTTTCCCATATCTCCATCTAACCCCGCCCTCTGGCAGTGGGAAGCCATTCCTCTTTGTCCTGTCCCTCCAGGCCCTTTGTCAAAGTTCCCCTCCAGCCCTCTTGGAGCCCCTTTAGGCACTGGAAGGGGCTCTAAGAGTCTCCCCAGAACCTTCTCTTCTCCAGACTGAGCATGGGATCTGGCTCCCACAGCTATTCCCACCTTCACTCCAAGCCAGGAAGCACTTCCCAGAGGCCAATGTCAGAGCAGCAGCGCCCACCCCTCAAAAATCGAGGTTCAGGAATCCCTGCCCATCCCCTGCTCTCCCCAAGGCGGTGGTGGCACTGCCTTTCACCTCTCCAATGAAAAAATCCATTGGAGCTTAACTCCATTTTTCCTTTTAATGCAAAAAAATAGCCAGACACATCTTCCTGCCCTTTCCCCACCCTCCCCAGCTGTGTTTCCTTTGCTTAGTATTTCCAGCCAAGCAGCTCCCACCCTTCCGCCTCCCAAATCTCTGCACCTCTGAAGCCACCCGTTGCTTTCCCCCTCCATTTTCCCAGTGTGGCAAAGCCCAAATAGATCTCCAGCCACTGGAAAAGAAGAGGGAAAGTGGGAAAACAGCAGAGTGCACCATACTTCAGCAATGTGCCAGTTCTAACCCTGCCAAGAGATTACAGGAAGAAAGAAGAAAAAGTAATACAAAAATAAAACCACCAAACAAGAAGCAACAAGCATGGAGCAGCCTCAGCACACAGTGTAAACAGAAGCTGTCCTGATCCGAAATCTGTCTCTCCCAGAAAGCAACAGCACAACATGCTTTGTACACCTTGAAAGGTCCCTGGGGTGCTGAGCAGCCAAGGGGGAGGACTGGGTTTGAGCTTGAGTTGATATTTTTTGCCTTATTCAAAAGGCTGAAGTGATCTCGGAATCTTCAAGTGGCATTTGCAGCACCGAGCCTTGCCAGGCAGGGAAAGGGATGGGGGAAAAGTGCCATGGGAAGAGGAGGGATTGGGATACAGGGACCCTGAGAGAAGGTCCCAGGGCTCTGCAGCTGGGAAATCTGGACAAGGGAAGGGAGAGAGCAAACAAATACAAAAAAATAGAGATATAAAAACAATTTGTGTGGAGGAGGAGAACATGGGCAGTAAATTCATTGTACTCTCAGCCTCCTCAAAGCAAGAAAAATAATAAAAAATCCCATTTGAGGTGACAGTGAAGGGTCCGACGGAATTCCCTTTCCCTGGGGAAAATAAAAATACAAATGAGGTACCTGTTCCACCCCAAATCCGTCACCCCTTCTCACAGCCACATCCACACTCAAGTGTTATTGTCTCTCAAATAAAGTCTCTGGGCCAGGGCAGCCCTGGAGCAGAAGCACTGAGGCATGGCTAGTTCCTCCTGGTTGGTTTGTCCAGCAGAGATCCAGTCTCTCCTTGACCGTGCCATGGGCGGTATTGTTCAGTGCTCCACGAAGATGGAGCCTTATCCATGTCTCATGTGTTTCTCCAGCTTTGTTTAAAAAAAAACCCAAACCTTTTACACACACACACACATATATATATATATGTATATATATGTGTGTGTGTGTGTGTATATATATATATATATATATATATATATATATATATATATATACACACAGTACAATGAAAATATCCATAGTAACAACTGAGGTGGCTGGAAAAGATGCTTAACAAAAAAGCCTGAAATAAAACGAATTCCCAACTCTTCCCCTAATGGATGCTTGCCTTCCCCACTAGTCTTCCAAGACCACAATCTCCACATTATGGACCTGGTGCTGATGGTCTTCCACATCTCCCACCACTTTCTCCTCAGTCCTCAGCTCTGTCTCCAGGATCACAGCTTTGCCCTCTGATTCGTCTGTGTCCACCTCAGGATCCGGCGCCGGGTCAATCTCTATGATGGTCTGCCCATCATCTGAGGTGCCTTCCACAGCTTGGATGGTGGAAGTGATGCCAGACTCCATGGCCACTAGTTCCACAGGGTTGACCATGGTCGCCACGTTGGCCAGGGCCCCGGTGTCCTGCATGGCTGCTGAGCTCAGCAGTGCCAGGCTGGAGGATGGGTGCAGGGTGACGGTGTCCGAGGAGCTGGTCTTGGAGGATGAAACCACGGTGGCATATCGGAAGAGCTGGGAGCCAGACGGCAGGGTATGAACAGTCACTGGGCTGGAGCCTTGGCTGAGGGTTGCCACTGGGATGTTGCCCACAGAGAACTGTTGTCCAACGGGCGCGATGGCGATGGGGGAGATGACAGTGAACTGAGGCTGCTGGATGGGGGTGGAGGGGCTGAGGATGGTAGCAGAGGCTGGGCGCTGCAGACGGGGTCTCTTGGGAGGCTTGGGAGTGCTCATGGGCATCAGCACCACGTTCTGGATGGTTTGAGACTTGGTCTTCTGATCCCTGGCAAGTTTCTTCTGTTCTTCCAGCTGCCGCTCCAGGTCTGCATAGGGAATGGTTGAGCAACATGTCACACCAGGGTAAGTAGGAGCTCCTGGGGCTCCAGAACCAACCATCACTCCCACATTTGTGACAGGAGGTCACCCAACCACCCAGCAAGCCTGATCTTGGCTTCTCCCTTGAGATCAAAGGGCACTGAAGGAAAAGGCTAGGTTCTCCTGCCACCTACATAGACCTGGTCAGTGTTCCAGCTGCCAGCGCCTGGGTAAGACACAGGTAGCATTCCATACGTGTTGGCTACTCCTACTGACAAGGAGATGGACATTTCTGTTCCCCACAAGCTAAAACCCACTTGCAAGGGAGAGTGGATAAACCCCCCCAGGCAGTTGGAATTGCTTCCTGAGCTTGGCTGGGTCACCTCCCCAGGAGCCAAGCACCTGCACTGGGGACAGCCAGCAGGATGCCAGGGTCAATGAAACATCCCCCTCAACACTTATCAGTGGGAACATTGGGAGCCAGAAGTAGCACAGTGACCTCATTTATCCAGGCAGCAGGGGACTAGGACATGTCAGATAATAACAGATCCTACAGTACATGGTGAGGAGGGAGACACATCCAATGAGCAGCTCTGGGGATCCCAGGTCAGTCAGTGGCTTCAGCTCAGAGAAAACTGAGCAGGATACCCAATAGCACTATAAGACAAGAAGATAGTCCTGATAGCCAAGACAAGCAGAAGCTCAGCACCCCATACTCAGAGAGGCTTATTAGCTTGGGTACAGCACAACACTGTCCACAGCTCAGGTGATCATCGCACAGCCCTGAGCTGGCAGGTCCTGTCCCTAATCCTGAGGGAATTGGACTGATGCCTGCAGCACTCCCATTGCAGCAAAGGGCACAGACTTTGAGTTGTCCGAAGTCCCAAGCAATTGCTCTCTGTGAGACAGGGGAGAGAGGAAATTTCACTCAAGCCCTAGGACAGAAAATGATTGGGATGCACTTGTTTTGGGGCAGCCTGTACTGAACACTAACCCTAATTAACTGAGGAAAAGGAAAGTCATGTCCATTCCCAAGAGTAGCAGCAGGATGTGAACTCTTATTAGGCCCTTTACCTGCCAGTGTGTAAAGAAACTGTTCCTCTCCTTGCTCTGTCTGGTTTTTCCTGTTGTCCAGTACCTTCTTGACTGTGTCCATTAAGCCAAATGTATGGGCGACGTTGTTCAGGACTGCAGCATCTCCAAGGAATGGGCACAGGGATGTTAAGACTTGGGCACTCAAAAGATGCTCCTGTTACACCAAATATTTTCTACTACTTTTTAAAACACTCTCTGTTCTTTCACAAGGGCTAGCTGGAAAAAAGGAAACTCAACTCCCGCATCCTTCTGACATCCCAGGATTAAATCATCCCATTCACATGATAAAGCAAATTTGACAGAGCTGTGTCACTCAAGCAGCTCCTAATTGCTGCAAATGGAAGTGTAATTTGCAATCACGGAGATACAAACGAGCTCTCCACCTACAAACCATCACCCTCATGCTCCTGACAGTGTCATTAACATGCCAAGCTCCACAGAAAGCTGTGCAAAATGTCTGTTATAATCCACTGACTTCAATCGCTCATAGTTCCCAAAACCTGACACCTATCAGATGCACCAGCCCAAAGTTAAATTAGAAAATAAAAAAAAAATATATCCTGGGTAAAATAAAGTTTGTGGCTACATGTATGTTCTCCCAGGAAGAGCATCAACAAGAGGTGTTCACAGGGGCATGTGCCAAATCAGATTAGGGAGCCTGTTACAAGTTAAAAATAACCCTAAAAAGGGGAGGGGGATTTATTTTTAACCCAGATCATTTCCCTCATCTGGTTCAGCCCCCAAAACAGGTTTTCTGGCACCAGTAAAAGCAGAGTAAGAAGTGAGGGGCAGGACCTGTTTAGCCCTGCAGTGTCACAGAAAAGTGTTTAAGTAACTCCAGTCCAAGTGACCCTGGGAAAGCTTCCATCAGGGCTGGGAGCTGTGGGCAGTCATCTGATGGTCCGAGCAAGCTGCCAGGGTCACTTTGCTCAGGGAACAGGAGGGAATGGTGTACCTTTGTGCTCTGAAGCACAGGCACTTCACAGCTGGGCAGGCTGAGAACACAGACTATGCTCCCACAACTCAGCTAATGAGTGGGAACTCACTCCCCATCCTGACTCACCAGCTTCACATGGTGGAATGGACCCTTAGCACTGTTTCGGGTTTTTTTTGCTTGCAAATGCCTTTTTGAGGCTTCTTCCTAACAACCTACCTGTCATCTGGAAGGGAGACTGACCCAAACGCTGCTGCACACCTCTTAGGACTTCTTCTATTTCCTTTTGGATGTTGCACACCACCTCTTCCATCAGCCCCACATCAGCTATTCCTTTCCAGAACATCAGTGTGTCCTCTGGCACAGAAGAGGAGGAAAAGTCAACATATACAAGCATTTGGCATTTTTCCCACAGGGTCACCTTAAACCCTCTAAGGCAAATGTATCTTTTCAAGGTGACTACCTTTGCAAGGTAGCTTGGCTACTGGGGTGGACAGGACGTGTGAAAAAAATAACCAACTCCAAACCAAGTAAAATGGACTCAGGCAGCAAATCAGGAATAGGTTTTTAAGCAAGTCCATGACTTCCAAGGCAACAATTCACATTTTTGCAAGATGCAAAGCTTAAAATCATAATTTGAGGAAATTCTAGCTAAGCTTCCATACTGATACAAGGGGATGGAAAGCCAGAGAGACACAGAACAGAGTTGGCAGAGAGCAAACATTACTCTGCTCTTTGTTGGTTCCAGCCTGGCTCCAGGCTGGCAGATGTGTTTCACATCCTTTGAATAAAACAGAAAAGCCCCTCACTGCAACCAGTAACATCTGATCTGAGGGATTATCCATCAGCCATGAGGCCAGGGCCAAAGTCCTGCAGTGGTGAGGAGCTCCATTGGCAGAAATCTCGAATGCCTGGGTAATGCTGAAGATCCAAGAGGCTGAGGGACAGCTTTGTTATTGCCCAAACTTTACTTATTTGCAAGATTTAGGTTTCCAAAAATGTAACAGGGAAGCAGAGGGGAAGAAAACACCCAACAAGCAGCCTAAGCTTACCTGAAATTTCATCCGTGTCCTTTTTCATGCCTTCCTCAGTGGCCATGGTGACAGCAGCTGTCAGAGCCGAGTTCCACTCTATCCCCTCCTCCATACTCTCCTCCGACAGCGCAATCTGGGTGATGCTCCCTGCCAGAAAGCTCTCATCAACTCCCTCTGACAGCCTGAATCCCTGCTTTGCTTCCCAACCCCTCAGCCCTCCTCAGGCTCTCTTTCACTCTTTGGGTAAGGTTTGTGCTTGGCTTCTTTCAACCAAACCACTCAAAGTACATATTGCTGCTTCTCATTGGAACTGTGACTGTGAAAAGCTCTGGAGCTTCTGGAGGGAAAATCATGTGGAGTCCTGGCTCAAGGGAGCAGAAAGAGATCAGAATTAAAAAGGGAACAAATAAGGCTCAGTCCAGCCACTCTTCTCCCCTTGCATCATCCACAGGAAGCTCTGCACCCCTAATCCCTCATGAAATGGAGCTGGGGTCCCAGCTGGTTTATTAAAGGGAAATGAATCTGACCCAATTCTAAATTTCTGGATCAAATTTGGGACTTACCAATGTGCAGCCACTGTAAGTTGGCTATGGTCTTTCCAAGAGATTCTCCTTAGCCTATGGACAACTCTGCCATGTCACCCAGCCAGGGGCAGAGAAATGTAACCCACCCAGCTTAACAGTGGGGTACAGTTGGAAATAGTCTTCTCCCTTAACCTCAGCAAAGAGATCAATATCTGATCTGGAGCACAGGATCACTCAGAACTTACAGCTGGAATGACAATCAAATCATGTCCAACCACCATATCCTGTTCATGGATGTTCTGAAGAAGGACAGCATTTCTAAATTCACTCCTGAGACCAACTCATGCCTTTATAACAAATGGGAAATGTATCGGAAAATGCTGTGCAAGCTCTCGCAATTGTTTGCTCCCATGATGATCCCAGAACAAAGATCCCTGCAAGACTCTCAATCCTTCTCCTGGCTATGAAGGCTGCCTCTCTGGAAAGCAGCTTCTTGATGCCAGCTGTTTTCCAACCTTCCCAGTCCTGCAGAACAGAGCCCCCTGACAGATGCTGCCAAGACTTCTCCGAACAGACACAAGAAGCATTTTCCTTTCCAGAAACCAGGGCAATCTCCTGGTGGGACTGCCCTGATGTGCCTGGGAAGAAGGTGTAAAGTGCGTGTAGAAGGGAGAGGAGCATCAGAGGGAAGTTCCCATGGCATTGGTAACTGGTTTCCTACCATCAGCTGAGGTTGGAGTCTGCACCACGCTCTGCTGCCCCGGCACTGGTGCTCTGGCACTGCTGATCAGGAGATCAAACTTGGTGCTTCGACAGGTGTTGGTGCAAACTTTGTCGTGTTGGTAGAAGTCAATCTGCCCTGAATCCATCATCTTCCTGTGCAGGGAGTGGGGATAGAATCAGGCTCAGTTCAAATCTCAGCCTAGAGACAAAAGGGAGTATTCCACCTGGGAAAGCTATGGTCATGGGAAGGAAAGAGAAAGAGAGATCCCCAGGCCACTCTGCACCCAAAAAATCTCCTGCAAGGCTTTCAAATGGCAAACACAAGAGACTCCCAGCTTCACGCACACTGTTTCAGTCCTGTTCCACCCCAGGTTCCCCAGGCAATGCCACTTCTGTCCAGGGTGAGGGATCCTGACCCTCAAATCATGGAGCCAGGATCTCTGCAGGCTGCAGGTACTGTGGGCCTCCAAGAGGTCTCCTGGGGACTGCAACGCAGACAAAATGCCTGCTGGGGGTCCTGCAGCTGCAGGGGTGGAGCCCTGAAGCTGGACAGGGGTCAGATACCTTAGCATGATTCCTCCGAGGCGAATGGCTCTCTTCCAGTCCTTCAGGGTAGACTTCCCAGCCAGGTGAACAAAGTGCTTCGGGCTAATCAGTTGGTCATTGAACTGGCAACAAGACAAGCAAAGGCTCAGCAAACAGCGAGGATTGGGACATCCAGTACAGCTCATCTGAGCCCCTACTTCCACCCAGAGAGAGGAGCTGCTTCGCAGATCCCTCCCAGCTTTGATCCCCTGGGCACAGCAATGCTCACAGCTCCAGGAAGCATGTCTGTAGGGATGACCTGCCAACCATAGGCATTCAGAGCCCTAATCAAAAACAGCCCTTGAAGAGTTTATATGAACCAAAAAATCTCCAATGAACATGTAGGGTCATTTTGGAGATCATTACAGGAGGTTTCTCTTACATCCAATGGCCCAGCAGCATCTAGCTGACACAGGTTTTCCCTTGAGCATCTGTTCTGCCCTATTCTGCCCTGCTCCAGTGACTTGAGTAGCTCCTGCTGAGGGGCAGGAGTACAAGGGACTTGGCTGTCAAACTGCCATGTTCTCAAGTGGGAGTAACATCAAGGTAACAAAAGGTAACATCAAGATTTCCCTTCTCAATGCAACCTGCTAGCCAAGGAAGTGACAGAAGTGGAATACCAGGACACCAAGGAAAAGGGAGGAGGCAAAGCTCTGCCAGATCTCAACACATATCTCCTGCCTGCCTTCAGTCCTTCCTCAAGGGCAAATACCACTGAAATATGAAGGGGGTGATATCCTTCCCTCCTTAATCCACTCTTTCCATGCTTCTCCCCATGAAAAAACAACTTTGGCACCAACAATCCAAGGACCCAGGATGAAACACAAAAACTAAGGAATTCCTGTGGAGGCCAACCAGCACACATGAAGAGGAAAGGAATCCACTGTGAGTTTCTCCTTTACCTTCACACACTTGACATTAATTCCTGGGCAGACAAACTTCTTCCAGAGGAGGATGGCTTTGCTCTCCCCACAGGTGATGGGATAGGCAATCTCGATTTCCTCGCTCGTTTCAAGGGTGCTGGGGTCTGAGGGAGGAATGGCTTAAAATGAAACTTTCCACCCAAGAGGCTCCAATCCCACAAGGCGGGAGCTGAAAGCTCATAAGTTATGAGACCTGCACTTGGGAAACCAAAAAAAAGGGCAGATCCCAGTTCAGGATCAGTCCTCTCCATCTTCTCAGAGTTAGTTCAGATTAACTCTAACAGCAACTGGCATCTGCTTTGTGGTATAACATTTGGCTCCAAATGAAGCTCAGCTACAAGGAAACATGAAATCAGAAATCCAACGCATCTCTAAGGGGGGAGGTGTCAGTGAGAACAATCTTAGAAGCAACAAAATGGTTTAAAATTTCAAGCACAGATATCTCTCAGATTCTTGCAGCTCTGGTATCTCTTTAGCAATGATATCAGATATTTACTGATAATATATTCTCTTCATGTGCAGAGTTTCTGCTAATCCTGCCAAAAGACCCAAACCAACACAGAAAGCAGAACTCTAGTCAAGATCTACTAACAGCATCCATTGACAGGAGCCTTTTTCCACACACTGCTCAGGATGGGAGAGAGCAGTTGGAGCCAACCTGCTCAGTTCTCATGAACATCCAATCCAAACCATCAGACGGCTGGTTCAGCAAAGACCCCACAACCAGAGCCTGATGCTTCAGTCACCACATCCTCATCACTATCATTCCTGCTGCCAGTGTCTGCACACTAGGACTAGGGTGACATCCCGGCTCCCCTGGACCCCATGGGAGCCCTTACCATTCATTGAAGGAGAGCCAGGATCTCACTTCCAGGACTTTGAGACCAAGCAGTAACAGCAGACTCTTATTCCAGAGTAAGCCCAGCCCCTTTACCCACATCCATGCCTGGGAATCAGCATCTGCAGGGGCAGAGCCAGAAAGAAGCCCAGCGAACTGGAGAAAATCGGCCCTGCACAGGAGGGGATTCATCCACACCAAGTGGGAACTCACCAATCCCTTCTTCCAGCTTGTGGATGGTGTGGGTTTCCACGGCCACCACAGCAGCACTGGCCTCGGAGCCCTCTTGGTAAATCCTGTGGTGAAAGTGGCCATCCATAAACAAACTATATATATCATGGGAAATTAGGATTCACAGCACAGGGTTTAAAAAAATCAGTAAATTTCTTTTTGCCTATCCTCAAGGGACATTAATTTTGTCTGATACAGTTGCAATCACCTGGAAATTTTTGGTAAACGCTAATAAAACAAAACACAAATAATCCCAAGGGCTGATAGATGCAGAGGCATTCCCAGCACTGTCATCCCACCCTCCACTCTGCCAGCACCACTGAGGCAGCTCTTCAGGCTTCCCTGTGCCTCTTCCTCTGCCCTTAGTCACCCTCGACAACAGGAAGCAGAGCCCAGTGTCCTAGGATTTCCCTTCCAGCCCTGTGTGACACTGCAACACAGACGACCACAAAGGGAAGCTACTGTCAGGCCCACAGCCACCCTGCCCCTGCAAATATTATCAAATTAGAGCCAGTTTTTTTTCCATCTTGATTGATCCAGGGTGAAGATGAAGCCACTCTCTGCAGCAGCTGCCAGGGAGCTACAAAATTCCCTCCACATCCCAGCCCCACTTTATTTTAGAAGAGGATTATTTTAGGAGAGAGCTGGCACAGTGGCACATGAAGGTCTGAACACACAGACCACCACATCCAGCAGCTGCAGTGTGGCAAAAACCAACCCGGGGACTGGAGAAGGAAGAGAGAAACTGGAACAGCACTGCTTCCACAATCTGGGAGCACTGCACCAACACAGCCTTGCAGGACAATTTCAGCCTTTGGAGGCCCCATGACAACCACACACACAAAAGATTTAATCTGTTGTATTTTCTCTCTCCCCTTCATGGCACAAAACTGATGCAGATCTGGAAAACACAGTGACACACTGTACCCACACCATGAAAACCCACAGGGCTCCCCCCCATCCCACCTCACACCTCCCAGGTAGTACCATCCTACTCACCCTTGTTGCACCGGCTGGAGCTGCAAGATCACTTGGGTTTTGGTATCCTCCGGGCTCTCCCCTTCATTCCCGTCACTTGGTACAACCACCACATCACCCACAGGGACGCTCACCTCGGCATTCGCCATCTCTCACATGAACGTGGCAAGGTTTTCTCCTCCCTGTAGATCACGAGAGCTGGGAACAGATCCCAGAGGCAGATCCCTCCAGTGTCATCCCACTCATAACTTCCCGAGCCAGCAGCTCTCTCCAGCTCTGAACCCCCAACCTGGCACCAAGGAACAGACCCACATTGGTGGGTTTTGGCAAGAGTGTGTTTTCAACACAGAGCTTCTCCCGCTGGCCCTGGACAGCAGTGCCTCCAGCCACCCCTGGAATGCTCTAGTCCACCCCTGCCATGTTCTGATCCCTCACTACCAGGAACATGCCTGTGGATGATCCTTCCCAGGAGAAGCTGGTGTCAAGGTGTGATGTTAACACAGGAGGACCTGACAGGGGGTCCCAGAGAAGCTGCACTCCCAGGGGATGGAGCCTATGGTTGTGCACAAGGCACAGAGGTGGTTTGGTTACAATGTGCGCCTGGAGGTCATCCCTGCAAGCCTGAGGTCTACAAGCTGCTGGGAAAGCCAGTCTCAGAATCGTGGAATGGTTCAGGTAAGAAGGAACTTGAAAGCTCATCTCATCCGACCTCCAGCCATGGACAGGGACACCTATCACTCGACCAGGTTGGTCCAAGCCCCATCCAGCCTGGCCTTGGACACTTCCAGGGATCCAGGGGCAGCCACAGCTTCTCTGGGCAACCTACGCCAGGGCGTCACCACTCTCACAGGGAACAATTTCTTCTCAATATCCCATGTAAATCTCAGAGATTTCAGGTCAGGATCTCCTGGCGAGTGACAGGGGTTTCGGTATCCCCTGGTTGGGATACACCAGGACAAACCCGGGGAGCCGCCGACACAGGGGCCACGCACCCACCCGGCTCCAAGCGTGGGACTCCCGCGGTTTCCCGCACCTCATCCCGCTCCGGGGAACAGACACAGCCACCCGGGGCCCCTCGAGAGACGGCAGAGCTTCGCCAGGATATCTGGCGCGGGGGGGTCAATAGGACACGGACAAATCGCGGCGGCGATCACGCCGAGGCCTTAAAGGAGAAGGGAGGAGCTACACAAGGGAACCCCCCGGGCCCCGCGGGGTCTCCGGGCCGCGGCTCGGGGGTCGCCGCCTCCCCCGCGCCGGGGTCGAGAGGTCACGTGACACAGGACCCGCGGGACCACCCCGCGGCGCGCACGGCGGCGAAAGGGCGTGGCCTGCCCGGGGGAGGGGGCGTGGCCTCGGCCCCCCTCCCCACGGCGCTGGCTACCCCCCGCTGCCCCCCCCCACCCCCCACCCCGAGCGGCGCGCGCGCGACGCCCGCCCTCGCGGCAGCGGCGGCGGCACGTACGGCGGCGACCCCTCCCTCCCCTCTCGGCGGGGCCAGGCCCCCTCCCGCCTCGCCCCGCCCCTTCGCGCCGCATGGCCCCTCCCGGCCCCCGTAGCGCGGCGCCGGCTGGGCCTTACCGTCGGCGAGCGGCCGAAACCGGGGGCTGTGGGACGGGGGAACGGGGGGATGGGGAGGGGGGAGGCGGGCCGGGCAGCAGCAACGCATGCGCAGTGCCCGCCGCGGCCTCGGCCGCCAGCACTTCCGGCCGCCTCCTGCCTTAAAGGGGCCGACCGGTGAGGCACGCGGCGTTTTGCTGCTCCCTGGTGGCCGCCGGCAGTATCGCCTTCGCGGCGTCACCCGCCAGCCCAAGTCAGGAGTTGCCGGCGAGGCTGTCACGGCGAAGTTCGCTCCGCCCTGGTCACAGCAGCGAGTCGTAGAACGCACTACCGGGCATCTCCCGCCCCGCCCCAAGCCAGCCCCGGCGGGACCATCGGGACCTCCCACGGCCGGCCTGCCGAACCTCCCACTGCCCCTGCAGTGCGTGCCGGTCGACTGACAAGGAGTCCGACCAATGGTTACGCGGGGTCGGGCGGCGACAGCCAATGGGCGTGGCAGGGCGGAGAAGGGCGTGGCCGGGGCGACGGCGCTGCGGAGCCGTGGCGGGGCCAGGGTGGCGGCGGAGGGAGGAGGATGCGGGCGGGCGGCGGGGCGGCCTCGGGGGCACTGGTGCTGGTCCGCCACTGCCTCCTGCTCGGCTCTCTGGGGCTGCGCTCGGCCGGCGCACAGGACGGTGAGTGCTGATTGCGGAGCACCGGCAGCGGGACATCCCACACCGAGACGCGGCACCGGGAGCCCCACTCCCACCGGTACCGTCGGAGCTTCTGCTTCGCTCGCCGGGATGGGACTGGAACTTGGTGCGGTATGGGGACTGGGAAGGGGGACCGAACGGGCTCGCCTCTGCCCCGGGACGGGCTCTTCGCTGTGTCTGGACCGGGATCGAATCAGGATAGGCTCACGGGAACGGTTCCCCGCTGTGACCAGAGCAGACCACACCGGCACAGCGTCGTCGTGGTGCGCCTGCCCCGGTTCTTTTCCTGAACGGGATCTCTGCCATCCCTCTGTCCCGGTACCGACCTGGGACAGGGTCCCTGCCATCCCTTTGCTCTAGTACCGAACCCAAACGAGATCCTCGCCATCTCTCTGTCCCGGTACCGGACTGGACGGGGTCCCCGCCCTCCGTCTGTCCTGGTACTGCTCCGGGACGAGGTTCCCAGTATCCCTCTGCTCCGGTACCGGACGGGACGAGCTCTGTCCCTGCTCCCACCGCCCCCGCATCACGCCGGTCCTGCACCAGCCCATTTTCCCCGCAGCCCCCCCCCAGCTCTCTCTGTCCCTGCCCTGAGTGGCGACTACGCCGGGGGTCCCGAGAGTCCGCGTTCGGCTCTATCCCGCCTGCAGGGCTTTCCCGGGGAACCCCTAATCCACGGGTTAAAGAGGATCGCTGGGGTTTACGTGCAGAGCCGGGCAGTGGCCTCCATCCCCGGAATGCCGCTCCCGGGGGAATTTGTAGCCGCGGGGTCCAGGACGACCCCGAGGAAATGTTCACCCAAACGTGATCCCAAAGTTCATGTTTCCCGGTGTCACTCGTCCCCAACTCATCCAAGAGCGAGGAAACAACGATGAGTCATCCAAAGCATTAACCCCCGAGGGGAAACTGAGGCACGGGAACAGGCTGGGATCACTGGAGGCAGAATCCCAGTACGTTCCCGGTCAAAAAGTGTGGTTTGGGGCACATCATGCAACGGGTTTCCACCGGATTCCCAACCCACTGGTGGACACGGAGGAGCTTTCCCGGGGCCAGCCGCATGATCTCAGAGGCAGGAATGTGCCGGGCTTTTGTCGGAGCATCGCCCTGTTGTGTCTTTCTTGCATCCTGTAAGAAAACAAACAAATCCCTGGCAGGAATGATCCCAGCAGGGCCCGGCTGAGTTCACCCTCGCCCACCGGAAATCCAGTTTTCACATTTTTTGAGAGGGGAGTAAAGTTTCTGTGGCTGGGGGCAAGTCCCCTGTGGCTCTGTCTTGGCTATTCCTGGCCCCTTGGTATCATCTTTGGAGCCAAATTCCCAGGAGTGCCTGCATCTCTCAGTTTATCTCTGGCATTCCCTCTCGACACGCGCTGGTCACACTCAGGATGTTTTCAACAGATTTCCTTTCCTTAGATTGTGTTTTTCCAGAATGGGTCCCCACAGCTCCTCTGCACTACCAGTATGGATATAGAGCTGGGGGGATCCATCCAAGACCCCCCAGTTGCACCCCCCCAGTTGCACACAGGTCCAGCTGTCCTGGCCATAGAGGGTTTTCCATGCAGATCCCAGTGGCTTCCACTTTCTGTGCTAGAAACTGCCCCCAAATACCCCAAATTTCTCTCCCCCAGCAGAGCATCCCTTCTGGGAGCTATTGTCCTGGCAGCCCTGGGGTCCCCGCTGCCCCCCCCAGCCCCCATTCTTGGAGGGCCTGATCCTTCCCAGCTCTGTTCTGTCAGTGGACACTGCCCAGAAAGGCGAAAAGTTGGTGATTTTTCCCAGTCCTACAGAATAAACCTCCCCCAGTTTGGATGCAAGCCCTTCCCACAGGCTGGAGAGGAGGGGACTCTGTGCCGGGGCTGGCATCTTTCACTGCCAGCCCCCTGGTTTTTATTCCTGTAGGATTTTCCCTTGCTGGTGCTTTGTGTTGTCTCCCAGCGACAGCAAGGGGAGCCAAGGCTGGGCAATTCTATGCCCACCATCCCTTTTCTTCATGGCTGTGCCAGCATTATGCTTGGCAGGAGCAACAGCTTTTGGGGGATGTGAGGAGGAGGTGTTGAGCACCGGACCCCTACAAACGCCTGGCCCACACAGTGGGGCCAAGTGGTGCTTTCCCCCTTTCCCTGCACTCCAGTTCTGCCCAGAAATTATGGCCAAGTCTCAATGCCTGATGCTTTCAGCTTATTTCCAGGATATTCCCTCATGCCCAGAGGCAGTGAGCCCAGAGAAAAGCCCCTTTTTTGGTGAGTCTGGCGTCATCCTGGGAAGGATGCAATGGGGATGCAGCTGCCCAAGGTTATCCCCGAGGTCAAGGCTGCAATCAGGGGTTCCTGGGGCTGCTCGGTGCTGTACAGCCCCATGGAGTGGGGATATTCTCTCCTTTAATCCTTTTATATCCCCCCAAATTGGGGTTGTCCTGGACTGGAGGATGTAGAGGAGCTGGAGGTAGAGGGTCATGCTGGGTGGCTGTGGGGGAACCTATGGCAGCTTCATCCCTGGATCCCCCTGTGGACAGTTCCCAGTGCCAAGAGCATCCAGAAAAGCCACCAGAAAATAATGCTTTGGATGAGGAAAACATCTGAAGAGGCTGCAGGTGCCCAGGGGTTGTTCTGGGGGCCTCACCAAGGGGGGAAACTGAGGCAGGGAACAGCCTTTCTGAGCACTATCCCCGGTGCGTCTGCAGGAAACGGCTGTGGCCACACGCTGCTGACACCCCACAGTGGCACCCTGAGCTCCAAGAACTACCCGGGCACGTATCCCAACCACACCATGTGCTGCTGGCGGCTCCAAGCCCCCCCGGGCTCCTCCCTACTCCTGGCATTTGGGGATGTGGATCTGGAGCCCTCAGAGCACTGTGCCCACAGCTCCTTGCTGCTCGCTGACCCCCAGACCGGCACTGCCTACGGTAAGGGGGTCCTGGGGGAATGGAGGCAAGGGTGATACAGTGTTGTGGATAGGGAGAATATCAGGAAAATCTGGGGTTTTAGCTGATTTCACCATGAGGAGGGAGAATATCTAAGGAGGGGGGTAAACAAGTGGGGCAGTATCCAAGGAGGGGGATATCCAAGGAGGGGGATATCAGAGGACAAGGGGTATCTGGTATGTGACAAGTGCGTTATCCAAAGAAGAGAAATATCCAAGGAAGGGGATACCCAAATAGTGGGGGTGGGGATACCCAAAGATGAGCGTTGATATCCAAGGAGGAGGATATAGAAGGAGAGTAATATTTGCGAATGGGGATATTTGAGGAGGTGGGTACCCAAGGAGATGATTATTGCAAAGCTTGGCGGGAAACTGCCCAGCTGGGACAAGATGCAGCCACTGAATAATTAATTTGTTGGACCAGTCACTGCCCAAACACTTCCAGGATTTTCCCAGACAGATTTACTGGTCTTGGAGGGATTTGGCAGCACTGGGAACATGACTAATGCTGAGGAAAACATCTTGAGGGTGGGAGGAAGCATCAAGTGGTGGGGTGGGATGGAGGAGCAGCGCTGGTGAGGGGCAGGGGCTGGACAGGAGATGCAGTGGGAAATACAGGATCGAAAGGAGCTAGCTTGGATCCACGGGACTGGGAGTTTTCCCTGTTCTTCAGGGCTTTCACCCTTTCTGGGCTGGTCCCCAAAGGAGTGACAGCACACAAGGTCCCTGGTCCCCATCCCCTCTGCTGTGGCCTCAGGGACATAATTGCCCCCAAAGCTAAGAGACGTCCTGGCCCCATGCTGAGATACAGCAATGTGGGAAAGGGGGGGGACTCCCAGATGATGCTCTTGGGGGGCTGGGGGAGGTGCCCAGGCACCCACAGACCCTTTGGGTGCCCCCAGAGCCATGTCAGCATGACACAGAGCTTGGGTTCCACTCCCTCTCCCGTGGCTGACACTG